ATATACCACTGTTTCCCAAGTGCCTATACCATGTCAACTATGTATGTGTCTGTTTGAGTATACCCCCAAAGTTCACTAGTCAACGATCTGGCGCTCATTCATATACCACTGTTCCCCAAGTGCCTATACCACGTCAACTATGTATATGTATATTTGAGTATACCCCCATTATAGACTAAGCTATGATCTGTTACCGATTCATATACCACTCTCTGTAGTATTATCACCGCTGCTCAAATGTGACATCATAGCCAGGAAAAGACACATACAACACAGCTATTAAAAAGTATATATCATAACTCTCAAAAGGTTACATTCCGCTGCATACATTAATATTCACATGTCACAGCTTCTCCAAATACTAAAATGTTTGTTCATAGTTGCTCAACGTGACATTACGGCTATGACGAAGTACATATCACGTCTACTGGAATATATGTCACGGTTCCTGAACTGTGACATTCCCCTGCACATATTCACATGTAACGAAATCTCTTGGGCATATACAATGAGTAAAAGGTTACTTACATGTGACATTAAGTTTAAGGAGAAGTAAGTACACGGCTACTCAAATATGACATTATGCTCAAGAAAAGGTATATACCATGACTACTCAAACTATACCACGGTTACTCAAATATGACATTATGCTCAAGAAAAGGTATATACCATGGTTACGGACATTACTCAACCTATACTCAAACTATACCATGGTTACTCAAATATGACATTATGCTCAAGAAAAGGTATATACCAACGGCTACTCAAACTATACCATGGTTACTCAAATATGACATTATGCTCAAGAAAAGGTATATACCACGACTACTCAAACTATACCATGGTTACTCAAATATGACATTATGCTCAAGAAAAGGTATATACCATATACTCAAACTATACCATGGTTACTCAAATATGACATTATGCTCAAGAAAGGTATATACTACTCAAACTATACCACGGTTACTCAAATATGACATTATGCTCAAGAAAAGGTATATACCATGACTACTCAAACTATACCACGGTTACTCAAATATGACATTATGCTCAAGGAAAGGTATATATGCACAAGAAAAGGTATATACCACACCTACTCAAACTATACCACGGTTATTCAAATATGACATTTTGCTCAAGGAAAGGTATATACCACACCTACTCAAACTATACCACGGTTACTCAAATATGACATTATGCTCAAGGTATATACACGACTACTCCAAGCTAAAGGTTACTATATATCAAGGAAGGTATATACCACGACTACTCAAACTATACCATGGTTACTCAAATATGACATTATGCTCAAGGAAAGGTATATACCACGACTACTCAAACTATACCAAGGTTACTCAAATATGACATTATGCTCAAGAAAGGTATATACCACGACTACTCAAACTATACCAAGGTTACTCAAATATGACATTATGCTCAAGGAAAGGTATATACCACACCTACTCAAACTATACCAAGGTTACTCAAATATGACATTATGCTCAAGAAAAGGTATACACCACCACTACTAAACTACACCCCGGTTACTCAAATATGACATTATGCTCAAGGAAAGGTATATACCACGACTACTGAAACTATACCACGGTTACTCAAATATGACATTATGGACATGAAAAGGTATATACCACGGCTACTCATTCAAACTATACTATCTCAAATATGACATTATGCACGTGAAAAGCATATATACCAAACTACTATCAAGGTTCAAATATGACATTATGCTCAAGAAAAGGTATATACCACGACTACTCAAACTATACCAAGGTTACTCAAATATGACATTATGCTCAAGAAAAGGTATATACCATGACTACTCAAACTATACCATGGTTACTCAAATATGACATTATGCTCAAGAAAAGGTATATACCACGACTACTCAAACAATATACCACGGTTACTCAAATATGACATTATGGACATGAAAAAGCATATACCACGGCCACTCAAACAACACTATCTCAAATATGACATTACGCACGTGAAAGAGAATATACCACGGCTACTGAAACTATACCAAGGTTACTCAAATATGACATTATGCTCAAGAAAAGGTATATACCATGACTACTCAAACTATACCACGGTTACTCAAATATGACATTATGCTCAAGGAAAGGTATATACCACACCTACTCAAACTATACCACGGTTACTCAAATATGACATTATGCTCAAGGAAAGGTATATACCACACACTACTCAAACTATACCACGGTTACTCAAATATGACATTATGCTCAAGAAAAGGTATATACCATGACTACTCAAACTATACCACGGTTACTCAAATATGACATTATGCTCAAGAAAAGGTATATACCACGGCTACTCAACCTATACCATGGTTACTCAAATATGACATTATGCTCAAGAAAAGGTATATACCAAGGCTACTCAAACTATACCATGGTTACTCAAATATGACATTATGCTCAAGAAAAGGTATATACCAAGGCTACTCAAACTATACCATGGTTACTCAAATATGACATTATGCTCAAGAAAAGGTATACACAACGACACCTCAAACTATACCACGGTTACTCAAATATGACATTATGCTCAAGAAAAGGTATACACCACCACTACTAAACTACACCCCGGTTACTCAAATATGACATTATGCTCAAGAAAAGGTATATACCACACCTACTCAAACTATACCACGGTTACTCAAATATGACATTTTGCTCAAGGAAAGGTATATACCACACCTACTCAAACTATACCACGGTTACTCAAATATGACATTATGCTCAAGGAAAGGTATATACCACGACTACTCAAACTATACCAAGGTTACTCAAATATGACATTATGCTCAAGGAAAGGTATATACCATGACTACTCAAACTATACCATGGTTACTCAAATATGACATTATGCTCAAGAAAAGGTATATACCACGACTACTCAAACTATACCAAGGTTACTCAAATATGACATTATGTTCAAGGAAAGGTATATACCATTACTACTCAAACTATACCACGGTTACTCAAATATGACATTATGGACATGAAAAAGCATATACCACGGCCACTCAAACAACACTATCTCAAATATGACATTACGCACGTGAAAGAGAATATACCACGGCTACTCAAACCCATTATAATGGCTACTCAATTTGTATGTCACTACACACAGAAACTATACATACCACGGCTACTCATTCCATATAACACGGCTACTCAATTGATATGTCCTTACACACATAAACTGTATTCTATGGGGATTTTTTATTTTCTAAAATCGTTATAAATAGGTCATACAAGAAGAAAATTATATTCGTTTTCAAATGAGCTATTTTTACAATATGTACAGAGTCTATCGTCCCTTCAAGAGCCCACATATCTGCCCGTTTGAATGGCCTACATGGCCGAGAGCTGTTCGAAGCTTTCCTAAATCTAAATTTAAGGGATATCGTTCTACGGAAAAGCTAGGTTGGGTATTGTGAGATGAAGATAATGATACTCAAGCTATATATCATGGCTACTCAAAAGTGTTTCCTTGTTGTTTAACGAAGCACTCAGCTATATTCCAGCTGTATTTAGCGCTACTAAAATGTGACATTAAAAACGTACATACAACGGCAAATTAAAAGCATACATGGATATCACATTTCGCTGTATAAGCTAACACATATCATATATTATCTGTACCCAGACCGACAGTGTACTTAAGTCTCACCAAGCTAAGTGTACACAATATATACTAAAATAAAACATTATCTAATCTTATCTTATTGATATACAAGTACCCAAGCCATTCTTTATAGAATTATGAGAAAGTGTATGAAATAATCCAAAGTACAAACTGAAAAATGTTAGTAAAAGGATATGAAATGTACAGCATTGTTAAATAAAAACAGTTTGGGATACATTGGTTAAACATTGTATTCACTGCAAAACGCATGTAAACCACCACACCTAGTCTGACTACACATTCAATCTTCTTTTAACGTCACGTCAAAGATTATTGCAATCACTCAGCGCCCATACGTATTCAAAGTACAATGCCAATGCTGATTGTTCATGAAAACTCGTTTATAAAAGTGAATAACAGCACGTCATACCAGGAAATGTACAATGCCATTTTAACATACCATACTGACTGTGTACTGTTCAAAAATTCAATTAATAGGTCAAAACGACCATCAATTAATTCACCGTATATGTATGGAACAGTTAGTGCATTTGTATGGACAGAAAACTAAACGGACTTAAGACATTTGGTACTTGTGTCAAGGCTCATTTTTTACATACCGATACGGTTTATGGTACATGTCGTAATCATAACATTATTGTTTTAAATACTGTCGTTGTTGTTATTATATTCATTATCATTTATATTAAAAACTAAGCCTACCATAACGTATCAAAACACACACATATACATGTAGATTTTGCTACTGTTTAACCAGATTCAGTCGTCGTTTTTAGATAAGTGTGTTTACATCAACAACTACGATCGCGAGGGGTCTCTCAGCAGGTCACCTGTCTACACACTATGACCCGACCACGTCTACACAATCTCCTTTGTATGTAGGTATAATTATCAGGAGGTCAGGGTAGATGGTTATCGAGCATACCACTGACCTCTGCAAGCCATGCCAGCAACGCGGTCGATATTAACCTCGACAAGTGAGAGGGACAATTCATAATGAGAAACAATATATATATACGCTGGATTTGTGGAATATATCAAAATATGTTTTAAGTAATAGCTCCGATAATGGCTTCAACAATGTATATGAACAGATTTAGATAAACCCCGATCTTGACGGTTAATCACTTGACAAAACGGTTCATGTAACGGTGTGTTGGCTTGTTGGTTTTGTTGAGCATGTTTAATGGTTTGGGGAAAACATTCATGTCGAAATAACCGTTCCTATTTTTCTTGTGTCTGTAAAACTACTTTCAGACTAGCCAGGGGGTTTACGTAAAACTCGAAAGTTTACTTACCGAAGGGTAAGTCTTTTATGTACATGTTCGGGGTCAGTCAGATCGATATTACGTAATGTTTGCTGAAGGCGCCCGTTCTTGTCAAGAGGTACAGTGGCGGTTCTCTCGGTACGAGCCAATATTATCGCGAGTCGTTAAAACTTCAGCTTTCAAAATAACAACGAAGCATATGCAGATAGCCACTTTCAGTCTCAGCTGAGAATTCAGGTCAACTGAAATCAACAAGCATGAACCCATGTGGGGTTGTCGTGGCCAGACTGAATCCACGCACAACGGGTTGTTGCTACTTTGTGTGGAGGGTAATGTCACGTCCTGTGATAAATGTCACATTTGTGACCAGCTACCCTCACACCCACCAGCATTCCTGGCGAGTTGGACTGGCCCGCTTAACAAATGAATCCAGTGTTTCCCCAAAACTCAAATCTTAACTACTTTGACAAAACAGCTTGAGAGACCTGTTTGTCGGCCTTCCCCAAACTTCCCCGTCTTACACAGAAACCGTTTCGGTACAAAACAGTCAACTTTCAGTCGACTTACCTTTGTTAATTAGCACGAACGCTACAGGTAAATCCGATATGTGCAGCCCTTGTCAACGGGACTGTTAGACTGAATGGAGTTCACTCAGAAACATTCTTAGTATCCGTGTCTGTGAAATGACGAGTTTCCGCTTTATGTGTGACTTATATGAAAGACCTGGTTTGGACACAACACATCGTGTCCTCACAAGCAGCTAGTGTCTCTGGCTTATCGTGAATGTTAGTCACAGCCTGTATAACACACCCTCTTATCTACGTCCTGCTTCCCCCTTCCTTCCCTCAACGGGAAATAACTGCTGTTTCAGAGAGTATAACCCGTTTCAAGGGACGATCCTTCAACCTGTATTATTTATACCGCACATTCTAAGCCTCTTAATAGTACTCTCCATTTATGATTGGAGGGGAGGTAACTGCCGACGGCAACTTGATCATACCCTGAGGCCGAACCGTGTCACCTCCTTGAATCGGGCCTTTGTGAATAGAAAAATCACTGATAAAACATATATACGTACCGTTTGATGAACCCACCAAATAAAAATTATCGATTTAAAAATACAAGTTACAAAATCTTTGTTTTACATTGTATCAAAGCAGCAAATTACGTGGTCATGACGACGGAGAGGAGATTTGGAAACTTCGAGCTGTGAAATGTATCCATATATTTTGATTGATGGACAGGCTGACAGCGGACTACCCATTTCACGAGTCCAATCATCATGTCGATTACACCGCTCTTAGCTTGACATCTTTATGATGCGGGCAGAGATTGTATTTGATTGCAGGAGAGTGCAACAACACGGGGTATTAGGCAAGTAACATCAACAAAGGTCAAAGTTCACGGCAGCTAATTCTCATTTTTTCATGGAGTGAAACTATCGATTTTACCATTACCGAAATTCCACTTAGAAAAGGCTATAAAGTACGTCTACATAAGGGGTTTTAAAAGTTAATTATCAATGACTAGTTTCAATGTACTTTATTGTGCGTTGTTACACAATATTAACCATCCATTGCCGACATGACCCGGATCATGGCAGCATCAGTGCTAATAACTCAATTCAAGTGCAAGTACGTGTCTTTAATCTCGTTGTACAGTTACACTAAACTATAAAAAGACGCGGATGAAGTAGATGAAGGTTGCAGCAACATCCCACCGAGCCCCTTCCTTCCTAGACTAACAACTAGTCTCTGAAATGAACATATTTTACTGAAAAAGTTCATAGCAAAAAAAAAATAACAATGAAAAGTAGCCCTGAGACTAAGCTGATGAAATCTAGACTTGCCACATTTTCTAGACTTGCGTGGGCTTTCTTGGATATATTTGCTGCAGGGTCTGTACGACAGACCACTTCCTTCCCATCCTCACTTCAAGCAGTCCAATCTTCAACTATGAATTTACGAAAAATACAACACGGACCATGTAAAAATAATAATTGATTTCTTAATCGCCTAGTATTTCATCGACAGATGCTCATCGGCGCTGTGACAAAGTTAAAACGAAATCCATGTACATATGAACACAATCCTGAACGTTTAGTGGAATGCTGAGCGGAAGAGGTGCATTAATCATTCGTGGTATGACTACTTTTCAGACTTCAAACATACATTTACACAAAATATATGAAACGAGGTACCAGGTACTAATCCGAACATATAAGTTTCGGATTATCATTATGTGTTTACTTATTTCAGTTAAAGTGAGACATTGTCATGCTTTAATAACGTTCACGGAACGGAACCATCGGCCCATTATCCAAGTACAGAGCAACGTGACACACCGCTTATATAACAGTACTGTTTGTGAAAAGCAAAATTGATTTTGCATTTATACATGGCGTAAATGAGAAACTTTTATTATATTTTAAGTTCATAAATAACGGAGACACTGTTTTGAAAATTATTACCCTTTCTCAAACAATAAATACAAAATCTGAAACTTCCTGATAATTATACTGTTGTCACATAAACACTATTATATAGACTTGGGTGGGATAGATGTAATCATCTTGAAAGATTATTGGTTCTGAATCTTGAATAAAACGGGCAGATCAGACAAAAATATAATAAAACCTCGACAGAAAGGGCACGGGTGTTCATAAATTGTTATTTTATATCTGCTTGTTTCTGTGAAAATGATAAAAACAAATTGAAAATTGATCCAATCTATATCCCCGTCCAAAACGACTTATTGTAAATAGAGTCACCCGTCACGCTGTCGTTCTTCACTACACATCTCCATGGCATACATGTATGTCGAAACTTGAAGGAAAGTCAATCCCTGTCAAAATATGACGTCGTGATTTAGATTGCGAAACATCAGATCCGATTGACATAATTCTCGTTTATATTTCACAATTTCAAGATCATTATATAGACACAAATGTCCTCAAAGCTCGGCTAGGCTGCCAACGGCACGCTTGAACAAAGCGACAACTGCTTATATTATTCAAAAGCGAGCCGACCGTGGCGACGTGTTGTAAATAACACTGCACGGACTGCATTAGCCTGTCATGCCAATTTCACTGCAGGTGGCATTTCTAAACAAAACAGCTTGTGGAAATAACGAGCGCCCGGGGCAATCTAAGTGAACAGTTCACAAAAGGCGTTGTACGCTCAAAGCGGTATAATTACTGTTTATTTTGAAAGAGTCAAGCGTTTATATGACCATTTTAAAAAGCACTAAATTAAAAGTGTCTGGAGATCTATAACTTATAATCGGTGTTGCAAAGGGTGCCTTTTTAGATGGCCGTTCTTTTTATTTGTGGAATATTAATATATCACACATGACATTTCGTTTCCTGTTTTCACGAGGGTTTCAGGTTGTGAAATACACACACAAACTCCAATCAAGAGAGTGGGAAAACGGTTCATAAAGCCTTCTATTACTAAATTGCTGTACAGAGTTAACTCCCTTAGGCGTGATCGGATCCGCTTCGGGATTTTGGGTGTACGCTCACCTTGTGGAGAACATGTACTTTTAGCAGTATTTGATTGTGATTTCATTGTATCTTCAGTAACCCATGTTTGTCGTAAGACGCGACTAACGGGATCGGGTGATGAGGCTCGACGTCTTGGCTTACGTCATCGTGTAGTTTATGTCGATGCTCATGATGTTAATCACTAGTTTCAGAATCGTTTATTGACGGGCGGCCGTCATACAGCCTGATGATTGCTGAGAGCGGCATTAAAAAACAAACGAAAAAATATATATTCCACAGATAACTTAAATCACGTTAGATTAGAGCCTAAACCGTCTAGTAACTGAAGCACTGTACCGCTTTACCCCCTAAACCAAAATTATAGAAGTCAGCATCTCAGTCACGAAACACATAACGACGCATTTTCTATTACAGAGTGAAAAGACAAAAAAAAGAACAGCAATCTTCCAGTCAAATCGGTTTTATCGAGTTAGTTAGCACACAAGCATAGTCCCTGTCAAGCCAGACCTGTCACCCTACACAGCGTTCCATCCTCAAGGAAACTCTCAAGCATAAACCCCCACAAATCTCTAACCGCAGGAGAGCAGGTTAATTCCTATGCCATCCAGCCATCGCCCTAAATCCCACGATAAAAGACAACGAGGACTAAAAAACAAATCATTTACGCTTTCATCACCAAGCATGTCGAAGCCAATCACATTCCATTGAATACTGACGTCCCTTGGCGAGCGCAAGCTAGAGAGCGTCGACGCGAGGTAATCACCAGTCGAAATATTAGCATATATTTACATATGGCCAGGGTCTGTTTTCGCATCTCATCTATGCTTTGCCCTGATATTAGAATACTGATAAAAACAAAATGAACACTATGTGTTTTATTATTTCCTACAATGATATATATTCAGTTTTTGTGTGCGTGTGGACTACCATAATCCTTAGCGCGCTCCGCATAACTGAATAGCACATAATGCCCAAATATGTCTCTAAGTCCTTTTTTCATCAAATGAATTATTCATAACTGTATTTATTTGTACGGTAATGTTTACAAAATAGCGACAAGTGACGAAAGATGTAAATATTATCTGATAACTGAATTGGGGCGGTGGGGTAGCCTAGTGGTTAAAGCGTTGGCTCGTCACGCCGAAGACCCGGGTTCGAATCCCCACATGGGTACAATGTGTGAAGCCCATTTCTGATGTCCCCCGCAGTGATGTTGCTGGAATATTGCTAAAAGCGGCGTAAAACCAAACTCAGTCAGTCAGTGATAACTGAATTCTGTATGATACTTTACGCCTAAAATCGTCCCTTACAAATAGACTAAGTGTACGGTTATGTACCTGTTTATTCAGTGAGAATGAAGATAGCTTGGGTTGTCATTCAGGGGAGAAACTACTTGTTTACAAGGAAATGTAACCCATGAAGATCCGGGTTAGATTACTGATCTTCAGCAACCCATATACTTGTCGTAAGAGGTGACTAACGGGACCGGGTGGTCAGGCTTGCTGACTTGGTTGACACATGTCATCGAATCCCAATTACGTAGATCGATGCTCATGATGTTGATCACAGGAGTGTCTGGTCCAGAGTCTACTATTTACAGAGCGCCGTCATATAGCTGGAATATTGCTGGTGCGGTGTTAAATAACAGT